ATGGAATAATCATTCTGAAATTTGGGACCCACTGCATATACAGCATGTGAATCCAAAATGTTATCAATTTTATCTTTCTGGTTTTTAAGTAGTGAGAACAATCGTTCAGATTCAGTAATTGCGATGTCCGAAGGCCATTGAGAAATAGTTGAATATACTGATACGTTCTCAGAGACATTGTTCCAAACTTGTGATCTATTACCTAGTTTCATACCGTCTACGTTATTAAAAGTCTCTGACTCATTATTAATGGTAACAACATGTGTAGAATATGTGATATGGTCGAAGGCCTCTATACTGTCTATTGTTTGATGAGCTAATTCGTCAAAATTTGTAAGTGATTTTTCATACCCGCCCGTTCTTTATAAGATAATTCATGATTATAAAATCGAAGACTGTTTAAAACAACATGCATTGGAATAAGACTTTATACTCACTTGCCAGTGGTTTCTTTTCTACTCATAGGCGGGTTGTCAACCAAATTTGGAATTTCTAGAGAAATAATCGATTTTTTATCTATGCCTACAAGTCAAATGATTTATAAATATATAAACATTGATAGGAACATGATCTTCAGGACAAATCAGTTTCCAAAAATAAAGTCATAATTAGTCTGATTCCTGTACTATTCATTAAATCGCAAGTTACTGTACATAAAACGAGTTTCAATGCCAATGCTTTGAGAGATAACAATCTTACCTGAATTTCTTGGTTTAGGAAGTTTTGTAAAGTTTAAAGGTCTACTTGTATAAATAGCTTGTGGATGTATTTGATAATTAAATCGTATCGATTGATCATATGTTGAAAAATTTTTGCCCGAGTCTCTAATTCCTTTAACTTGTTTATATAATTCGGTTTCTCCCTTTTTCAAATCATTACGAAATTGGTGCAGTTTGTTCGCCAATTCTTTAGCAGTTGGTCTGTTATAAGGTTCGACATCTAAACACTTATTCATTAAATCCAAAAGTAGTTGAGGAACTTCACATTTGATTTCGGCTTTACGACCTAGGCAAATTTGGATTGCTAATTTTTCGTCATGT